GGTACATGACTGTAGTGTTCGCATGGGCCGTGAGCAACTCAACCGAGCGCACATTCAGAGAGCGTTTTTCTCTTTCGGCCGAGAATTTCCGGCGGCTAAATTTCGGTGCATCCCTATGAACAATCAAACCGTCTAAACTGAATTATACATGCAGACACTCATAGGAGGAGTTTCTGTGCTAATTAAAGTGCTAATTAATCATTCAGAGAACTTCAAATTTTATTTTTGAAAATGGAAACATTCCTCACAGCTGGCTCCGCGGAGCCATGAGCAGATGTTAAAGCTGGTTTACACTGCGACAGAACCTCATTTATTCTCTACCAGCAGCAGTAAATTACAAATGCAATACATTTACTGCATCATCTGCAGTCTGCACATCAGAGAGCGCGTGTTTAGATCCGTTTGGCTTCTTGACTGTGTAGTGCTTTGTGTAAGTGACGCTCCCTGACTTCAGTTCAGCTGAAGTGCTCTGTAATGACCACTAGAGAGCGTCTGTGTCTCCTACAAACAGCCTTCAGAGGAAATACAGGCCTCCTGATGCTGGTCAGCTCAACATGGCAGCCGGCATGAACTGTGTGACATTATTGATTCAGTTCCTAAAAGTAAAGGAAACAATCATGCTTTCTGATGTATTTCTTTTGAGATTTAAGTTTTTCTGTAGAGCTGTTGAGTTTATGGATCATTACTGCTCTTCAATACGTTTTCATGTCCCTATCATAATATACTGCATAAAAAATAAAATATTTTAAAGATGTGAATCATGTTAGCTTTTCTTTGATCACTGCATTTGATCTCAGTGCAGTGAATTTTTAATCAGCGTTGATTCTGCTTGATCTTGTTCAAAAACATACCATACGTCTTTCTTATGGTCCATAATCAAGTCAAGATGTATGTGTTTTTATAGCTTATCTCACAATACGGCGTTACAGAGATGTTTCAGTGCTTTACAGAAATGATGCTTTAATGTCTCTGATCAATGCATTATTAAAGCAATGACTGCGACCTCGTGCTCCTCGTCATCCATCAGTACAGATGACTCGTGAAGGTCTGATCTCCAACCTCATTACGGACGTGCTGAGACACAAACAGGGAGACAAAAGCAGGGAAGATGTTGGTAATTTAATGTGATCTAATGTATCTGAATTGCTAGTTCGCAGGACGAGTTTGATGAAAGCTTTATATACGCATGTCATTAGTTCAGATTTTAACTGAGAGAGTGTCTGAGTGCCAAGCATTGCTATAAAGACTGTTACAGACTTTACATGCCAAATGTGAGAAGGCTTTGCCTCCTCTTTTGTGGACTTTTTGCCTGTGTTGTTTTTGCCACTTATGCATTTAAGAGTAAGTAGCAGCATTTTGTAATTGATGTCAATCCTAACAGGTATCTAGTAGGGAAGCAACAATACATTTAGCCCACGGTTCAATACAGACCACAGTTTTCAGTTCGGTTCAGTTCAACTTGTAACATCAGAGTGTTCTTTGTGATTTGCTATTTAAAATGCACTTTTTAAAACAAATTAACAAAAACAAAAAAACAACAACTCCTGTACACTTCTGGACACTGGAACATGGGTTACCACATGTCTATTTGACTTGACTGAGAGAAGTATTATTTTAGGATGGATTGGCCATTATTGAGTGCTAAAAACACATGTAATGTTTCATTCATACTGGAAACCGGAGGCTTCACAGAAGTAGTACAACTCATGACGTTCCAGGAAATCCCTAATATGGACAAAGACATCCAGCTATTGCTGTAACTGAATAAAAAGAAGATAAAACGTTTTAAATGATGAAACAGGAAGACAATAAACACCGACTGCGACAATGTATAGTTTATCTGTGTTCTTCAAGCCATCTTGGGTCTTTTCATAAAAATTAAGTATATTTATAATCCATTGCTAATCAACATAGCCTTTAATTACATTATAGAATATATTTTTTTGTTTTTTGTTGGACAGCAGGTTTAGAAACGCTTCTCAATACAAGTCGTTATAGCGGAAGATGTTTGCTGTGTGTTGCATAAAACAAACTAGTTTCAAACGAACATAGTTTTGTGTGTAATTCAAACTTCCTGCATTTCTGTCTGGTCTGCGCTGAGTGATAATTCATCAACAGCATGTGATTCAAAGTGAAAGTGCTGTTTTCATCCCAGGTTTGGAGCGTTTGACTTTTGCTCTTTTTCTCACATGTAACTGTAAATCAGTGTTGAGCAGCTGCAGCCGCTCCAGTGAAAACACTGAGTACATTTAGTCACATCTGCAGGAAAATGCTCTGATATTGTTGATCAGATTATGTGTCAATTTTAAAGCTCCTCAATTAAGTGAGTGTCAGTAAAGGTCGCCGGGGTCAGAGGGCAGAAGACTTAACAAACTTTATTAATAGTGCCAAATCCAGCACATACTCATGCAATTATCACTCTGACCCAGAGTAATTAGCATACAGTCCTGAGAGAGAGAGAGCGCCGTCTCACCTTAATGAGTGTGAATCTGCACACACACACACACACACACACGATGAAACGGGGACATGCGGCTGAACTCAATCCAAACACTCAGAGCAGCACTTCAGCGCTGTGTGTGACGAGTAGTTCAGGCAACTCATCGACTAGTTCATCTGAAATTATGATGTCGTTTTTTTGTGTCCCTCCTGAAATTCCATAATTGATTCTGCTGTTTTTATCTCTGTGAAGCTGCTTTGATTCTCATTGGTCAGTCGTGACATTCCGATGTGTGTTATTCCCGATAGCAACCGTCGTCATTAGCAACACCGAATAACGTGCTCATCACACGCCGCGCTCTCGCTAGTTTCATTCAAACGTCTCAGTTATCGACTGTATTTACTGTCAAATGAAAATACAGGACTTTAGTATTAATAGTAGGCCTGTGGAATGATGGTTTTGTACACTGTAATGGATTTAAGATGATAAACAGGCCAGATTTTAAAATGCTTTTTCTAGAATGAGCATTTTATGTCCCCGTCTTCTGATACGACTCTACATTATGCCTTAAATGTCTGTCCTGTCTGAGCCTGTTCATTCATCTAGGCTCAAAGACATTTGTTAGAAACAAGTTAGTTTTTCTTTGAGGAAGCTTTGTGTTTACAGAGCTAATAATATTTCTCAAATCAATCTTTCCTGTTATTATTTATCCAAGTAATTATTCTAATTAGTTACTTATGTGTCAAGTAGTCGTGTAATAAGCCGGATAATGTACGTCCAGCCGGTTGTTATCGCAGAATAAACCCTTTCAGGGTGATCAGGTCGTGTAAGGCCTTGTCCACACTAATATGTTTTTGTTTGAAAACGCATCTTTTTCTCTTCATTTAGGCCTCCCGTCCACACTGAGACGGCGTTTTTGTCAAAGAAACTAAATACAAAGACTAAAGATAGATTAGTCTAGTACGCTGAACTTCACAGGCGAGTGTTAGAGTGTGAACTAAACACACATATATAAATGTATATTATACACAAAAAACACATGCGAGCCGGTGAAATCAGGTCAGTCAGACGTTTCTCTCTCTCATTCTTCAACACCTCGCACAAGGTTCTCCTCAGGTTGACTAAATTTGGAGCTCATGAATACAGAGGCCATAGATCAGGGAGATCCGCCTGTTTCTTCTGTGTGAAATAAAGCAGTGCTGCGTGTTTTCAGGATGTTTGGAGCTTCCTACAACCTTAGAAATATAGAAGCATTGAGTTTAGCTGACAGATTACATGTGTGTGCTGTTTAATAGTCTGGTGAGAGAGCTGTGAGATGCAATGATGTTTCATATGATCACAGACTGATTATTTTCTGCGTTAATATTAAATGCAGTGATCAGCAGTTTCTGTTAGAAGTTAGAAACAGTGTAACTGTACAGCACTTAAATAACAGCTGCAAATAAACAGCTTTCATACTGAGAGTATAAACGTAACACTTAGGCTTTACACCGAATCACTTACTAACCTGTGTGTGAAGCCTCACATTTCTGCTTTAAACTACAACAATGTTTATGTTTTATTTATTCATCTGAACAAACTGAGGGATGAATCTGAGCTCTGCATAACCAACAGCATGTCACAGATGCATTAAATCCTGCAATGATTCAAGACATTCCTTGATTCGAGAGTTTTTGGATCATATTTAGTCAGTGATGTGATCACTGTTGTTTTCATATGCAGGTGTTTTTTGAATATGAACATTTTGTGGAACTTTATGCTGGTGTTTTAACCCTGTTTGTGCCCCGGTGGCTGTGTTTGAATCCTCTAACGCTGCCGTCAGTCTCGTCTTAATTGGTTCGTTTGACATCTGACCTCCTGCAGACTCACAACGGAGATTATTATATTATATCGTACAGGACAACAGATACAGTTAATGACTGAAGGCAAAGGGATAATGTTAAAGAATGAAGGTGCACAGAAAAGAAAAGGAAATATTACTAATAAAAATATTAAGAAAGAGCTATAGTACATTTTTGAGCTGTGGAAAGGTGCTATATAAAGAAAATGTATTATTGTTTCTGTGCATTCTGTCATAAAGTGCATCTTTGTCTCAGGTTTTCTTGATGGCAGTGGGGACTCAACCTAACCAGTCCTGGGAAGCCATGTTTCAAGTGTCTGTCCATCTCTCTATAGCGAGGTTTTGTCAGTTGCGTCTGTACTAGGTACATGACGGTATCAAATTTCATGCTGCGATAATCATTGAAGCTTTTATCACAGTATACGGTATTATCACAATATTGAAATAAGTTGCAAAAAAGTGTTGTTATACTATGACATGTATAATAACTTTGTGAATTGCTTTATTGTATTTATGTTCAAAGTAAACAAATGTTTCAAACATTCATATGCAAAAGAATCATAAAGAACAATAGGTAGGCTAAGGCTTTACAAGGTCTCATTAGTAAACGTTAGTTAATCCATTAACTAACACTAATAATGAGAAATAGCTACATTTGTTACAGAAGTTATTATGTTAACGTTAGTTAAAAAAATACAACTGAACTTTGTTTGTTGTTAGATCAAGTCCATTAACAGCGATTCTCAACTCAAGAGCTCGGGGAAGAGTGCTGTTACGGTCTCGGAAGGAGTTGGAGCGGATATTTCCTCCGTGAAATGTTCTGCAACAGAAGTTGCCACCTTAGAGAAAACTGGAACGGACTCAGGGAAAGAAAGGGCTTTGGGACTGGAGCGGACACCGCCACTTCAGGAGGTTCTGCGGTGGTGTGAGTGGCCCAAACACACAGAATGGCCGTAGCCATAACTGGCAGAACAGAAAGTACAATGTCTATTTCTAGAACTGACTGCGTTGTGCCCGGGGAACTAGAATGAGTAGTGACCGGCAGGCTTGAGAGGGTTGAAACAGTGTTGCTTGAGAATGCTGAGTCGGTGTGGTTCGTGAGTGTGGAATCTGTGTGGCTCGGGAGCGTGGATTTCACAGGGTAACCAGCAGCTCGCACGGATACCAGTGGAGGATCCTCCATACTGGATGCCAATCTCTGATGCTTAATGATAGGTTCTATTGACAGGAACATGGGGGGTTTTGGTAACACAACCGCGACAGGACGTGGCTCTAGGCTGGCAGATGTGACAGGATGAAACTCTGGAAGATTAGCTGAAACGTGACGAGGCTCTGGAAGATCAGCCGAGACGTGACGAGGCTCTGGAAGATCAGCCGAGATGTGACGAGGCTCTGGAAGATCAGCTGAGACGTGACGAGGCTCTGGAAGATGAGGCTCTGGGAGATCAGCCGAGATGTGATGAGGCTCTGGATGATCAGCCGAGATGTGACGAGGCTCTGGAAGACGAGGCTCTGGATGATCAGCCGAGACGTGACGAGGCTCTGGAAGATCAGCTGAGATGTGACAAGGCTTTGGAACAGCGGCCATGACGGGATGAGACTTTGAAACGGCGGTCATTTTGCAAACAGTGTCTGTGTTGGCAGCTTCTTTATTAACTTTTTTTTTTTCTTTATTAACTAATTATGTCTCTGGGCTGGCGGCCATGTTGTGGTCCTCATCCACGACACCCACGGTAAATGCAGAGCCGCTAATTCGAAGTGCCAGATCGATATTAATATCCAAAATCCAATTTGGGTCGTGCAGTGGCATGACAGATTGCAGTGGCTCAGCTAGGCCACTCCGAAAAAATATCATCAGGCAAGTATCGTCCATAAAAGTCAGATAGGCCAGTTCAACAAAGTCCGCAACATAATCCTTAATAGAACGATCTTCTTGGCAAAGACGCATTATTTGGATTAAATCACCAGCAAGCAATAACAAGAATAATCCAAGAGAGTAATCCCACAAACAGGCGCAAGGTCAGGGCAGGCAGCAAACAATCAAAACACAGAAACAGTCTAAGATCAAAACACACTAAGGCAAGGCAAGGAAACAAGGGAACACGGAAACTGGGAAAACGTTACAGGCTTCCAATCATCAGCGATGTGAGAGTGTGTGTGTGCCATTCATATAGTGTGTGACTGATGAGGTGATGAGAGACAGGTGACAGCAAAGGATTATGAGAAATGGAGTCCGGGGTAAAGTGGAAAGAGTCTGGAATGGAGTGCCCTCTAGCGAAGCTCATTGACGAGGCTCTGGAAGATCAGGTGAGATGTGACAAGGCTTTGGAACAGCGGCCATGACGGGATGAGACTTTGAAACGGCGGTCATTTTGCAAACAGTGTCTGTGTTGGCAGCTTCTTTATTAACTTTTTTTTTTTCTTTATTAACTAATTATGTCTCTGGGCTGGCGGCCATGTTGTGGTCCTCATCCACGACACCCACGGTAAATGCAGAGCCGCTAATTCGAAGTGCCTGATCGATATTAATATACAAAATCCAATTTGGGTCGTGCAGTGGCATGACAGATTGCAGTGGCTCAGCTAGGCCACTCCGAAAAAATATCATCAGGCAAGTATCGTCCATAAAAGTCAGATAGGCCAGTTCAACAAAGTCCGCAACATAATCCTTAATAGAACGATCTTCTTGGCAAAGACGCATTATTTGGATTAAATCACCAGCAAGCAATAACAAGAATAATCCAAGAGAGTAATCCCACAAACAGGCGCAAGGTCAGGGCAGGCAGCAAACAATCAAAACACAGAAACAGTCTAAGATCAAAACACACTAAGGCAAGGCAAGGAAACAAGGGAACACGGAAACTGGGAAAACGTTACAGGCTTCCAATCATCAGCGATGTGAGAGTGTGTGTGTGCCATTCATATAGTGTGTGACTGATGAGGTGATGAGAGACAGGTGACAGCAAAGGATTATGAGAAATGGAGTCCGGGGTAAAGTGGAAAGAGTCTGGAATGGAGTGCCCTCTAGCGAAGCTCAAGGGCACTCCAGCTAGAGATTGTGACAGAAGCAGCTGTTTTGTTTCCAGGACAACGGCTGCATTTCTGCTGCTCCATCAGCACCACCTGCTGTCAGAGAGTGAATGTGCTTGTTTACATCAGAGTGTGTGCGCGCCTCTTTGACGCAGCATACAGTGGTGTTGTGCATTTTGGCGGTTGATGGGAAAAGTATTGGTAAAATGCATTTTAAAAATCTGAATAATAAATAATTATTCACTGTATTTTGAAGTGCCCCCGATAACAATATCATGCCGGTTCATTAGGGGTGTAATGATATTCAAACTGAACCGAAAATCCACGATACACCACCCACGGTATGTACCGCGGTACTCTCTTGGAGTACCCCGCCCCCTGCTGAGACACTTCAAACGTGTATGCCATGATGGTTTTGAATTGCTTGAATCACTTTGAAAAGGAAGGTACCATTAGGGCAACATGTGCAGAACAAACTTCTAGGCTATAGGACGTTTCCTATCAGATTCTCGAATAGACGTTTAGAAAATGTCTTTACCCTTACAGAAAAGCCACATGAACTTCACATGTGCATACTGTATGTGCATATTATAATAGAACATTATTATAATAAAACTTTGTGAATTTTTAGAGTTTAGTTGCTGCGGGATTGCGAGCATTGTGCGAAAAATTCTACACATTCTCGCAGGTTTCGCGATTATAAAGCGAGAATTTCCCGAAACATTTATGCACTGTAGCATGTAGGTTGAATCCAAACAGATTATCAGAGCAGATCAGTTATTTTTTTAAACTTTCAGTGAGACGGACTTTCACAAACCGTGTGAATGATTGGGACTGAGTGTTAAAGGGTTAGTTCACCCAAAAATGAAAATTAACCCATGAATTACTCACCCTCAAGGTATCCTAGGTGTATATGACTTTCTTCTTTCAGACGAATCCAGTCGGAGTAATATTAAAAATTGTCTTTGATCTTCCAAGCTGTTTAATGGCAGTCAGCGGGTGTTGCATGCATCAGTCCAAAAGAAGTGAAATAAAGTGCTTCCATCCATAATAAAAAGTGCCTCACATGGCTCTGGGGGTGAACAAAGTCCTCCTGTTGCGAATCGATGCATTTTTGTAAGAAAAATAACCATATTTAAAACGTAATAATCAATTTAATCTAGCTTGCGCTCACTGTTGTACACGGAAGCAGCTCTGGGCGGATGACGTAAGACGTCGGTGTTGCACATGCGCCGCTCAGAAGTGACGAACGCGGAAGCGCAGGGGAGAGATCATAACAACAGTCATGAATTAGAAGTACAAAATGAGGATTTATAAAGAAGAATGTCGGATGATTTCGATATAAGCTAAGAGGAGACTGGTTTTCGTTTGCTAAAGTAAGGAAACTTTGCTTCTTGGGTGAACTATCCCTTTAAAGCGTCTTCTGCCACTCTCTCAAAATGCACAAATGGCCTCACATCCATAGTATCCATGCTGAGTTTGCTCTGCAAGCGAGCTGTACGCTGCAATACAAGCCTAGCATGTGTTTCGTACAGTTGATGGAAGTGTCACTTGCACGTCATTTAAAGTCATGCCAATTTAAACATTCAAGCTATTTTAACCCATAAAGTACTCATGCACTTTCTGATACTGCTTTTCCACCGGGGCTGGTGCCGGAGCCCAGTGGGAGCCGGGCTACGCTTTTCCACTCAAAATATTCTGGGCCAGTGCCCAGATCCTGGTTCCGAACCAGCCGCAAACCTTGCTGGTCTCGAACAAGGGATCCTATGACGTTCGTAGGCGGAGTTTCCACTACAACCAGTTTGAAAGGTGCCATTTTTTAAAGCTGTCATGTGTTCAGGTAAATTAACAACATTAACACAGTTAAATGTCAGTTCAGCAGTGGTCAACAGAACAGATCAACGCTCTCCTTCTGCAAGAGATAACAAGCGATTCCGATCACATGTTGATTACGTAGAAGGATCTGCTCCCTTCCAGAAACGGGTTAGGGTTAACTAACCGGTTCTGAATGAGTGCCAGGCTGCAGCTCTGGCACCAGCCCCAGAGGAAAAGTGGTATGAGATGGTCTTCAAAGCGCTCTCAGCCAAAGCGCACAGCTGCCTCTTAAACAGCTCGTGACTCTCCACTGTCAGATTGAGTTATTACATATTTGATGTAATAACTGGTTATTACATATTTGATGTAATAACTGGTGAAAGAGTTTTCATGCCTCATTGAATCTTTAAATCTTTCACAATTTGTTTCGAGTCCTACTCATAATTTGGGACACACATTGTATCTGGTGTTGTCATATGGCTTCCCCATAACAAACCTGAGAGTGATTGATGCTGCTTTTTCAGACCATTTGCCAATTGTGTTTGAATTTGTTTGTGATTTCCCCACCCCACATGCTCTCAGTCTGTAAGTTATTCTCGTTTTATTCAGCCGTACAATGCCAGTTTATTTTCAGAGCACTATCAAGCAAATTTCGTGGATGTTGCCGCTTTAGACAAATTAAACACTGAAGAGATGGCAGAGGTTTTTATTAATTCCTGCTCCATTTCTATAGATTCTGTTGCTCCCCTTAAGCCAAGGAAAGCGAAGGGAAAGGGCACCACTCAACCTTGGTTAAATGATAATACCCACGCTCTTAGACAAGAGTGTCGTAAGGCAGAGCGAAAATGGAAAAGGGACAAACTCCAAGTCTCATATGAGTGTCTGATTGCATGCTTAACTAGCTACCAAAAGTCAGTTAAAGTCAGAATTCCTTTCCAAACTCATTATTGAAAATGCGAACCGACCGTGGATGCTGTTTAAGACAATTGATTTGGTGCTAAATCCCTTACCTGCCCTTTCTCTTGATCCATCTCGGGAAACCTGTGAGAACTTTTTAAAAATGTTTGATAATAAAGTATTGAATATTAAGGCTTCTTTTAAGCCATCAACATATGATCCCCATTGAGCTGTTCACCAACAGATTTGTTAACTTGTTTTCATCCAATTTCCTCTGTACAGCTAGCGGATTTTGTTTTTAAGACTAAATCCTCCAGCTGTGAGTCTGATGTCATCTCAGCTCGTCTTTTTAAGGAAGTGTTTGCAACCCTGAGTCCGGCCGTAACAGCCATCATTAATAGTTCTTTAGCAAATGAAGTTGTACCAGCTAGTTTCAAACATGCTGTGGTTCACCCTCTGCTTAAGAAACCTCATCTTGATCCATCTATCCTCAGTAATTTCAGACCTATTTCTAAGTTGCCATTTATCTGAAAGCTATTAGAGAGAGTTGTTTATCATCAGTTGAATTCCTATATCAGTATGTCCAATGTTTTAGATACTTTTCAGTCAGATTTTAGATAAGTCCCTCAGATCTGCTAATAAAACTCTTTTATATGTCCCACGGTCACTACTTAAGTTTAAAGGTGACAGAGTAGCGGCTCCACGGTTATGGAATCAGTTAGGGCTGTGCAATTAATTGCATGCGATTGTCAAGTGCATCTGGTCAGTAAAGCCGGTTCCGTGATTAGTAGTAAATCGCCATCACCTGAGTTCAGATGGAGCGGCATTTACTACACAGAGCCGTAGTTCACTGACAAGCTAGGCAATATAATCGCAGATGAATTGCATTCGATTATGAATGTGATATTGCCTAGCTAGGGATGTGCTGATCCGATATTCATATCGGGTATCGGCTCCGATACTGCCATTTTTTTGTCGGATCTGGTATCGGTCAGAGAGGGCCGATCCAAATCCGAGATTGTGCATATTATTCTGTGTTACTTCTGAAGCCATAAGATAGCTTAAAGGGTTACTCCACCCCAAAATGAAAATGTTGTCATTAATCACTTACCCCCATGTTGTTCCAAACCCGTAAAAGCTTCGTTCGTCTTCGGAACACAATTTAAGATATTTTGGATGAAAACCGGGAGGCTTGTGACTGTCCCATTTCCAGAAAAGCATCGTCAGAATAGTCCATCTGCCATCAGTGGTTCAACCGTAACGTTATGAAGCGACGAGAGCGACGAGAGTATGCGAAGAAAACAAAAATAAAGGCTTTTTTATTCAACAATTCGTCCGCATCACCGTAGCGCCATTTTGGAGAATATGAGCTGAACGCAAGCAGCGTACGCTCTTCTGTGTCAGCCTTGGAACTTCACACACTTTAAAAATACTCAAA